TAATAGCTCTGACCCTGAACACACAGATATCTATGGGATTAAAGGCGTGTGCCACCACCGCCACACTCTTGCTATGGCTCTAATAGCTCTGACCCCCAGACAACTTTATTTATTAACATACAATCAAATTAATATTTCAGTACAAATCAAAATAATATTTCAATACAATTAGATTACCACCACAGTCTGCATAGGAGTCTCCTGACATAATCAGGTGAACCCCCTGGGCTATAGGGGGTGGAAAGAGCATGGAGCCTGGGTAAGGACTGGGATCTACTCGGCTACAGCTCGAGCCCCTGATGCTAACTTTCTGGCTTGTGATAGGCCGGTGATGGTGCAGGAAGACAATATACACACCCCAAAAAGAAAAAGTACTCGGGCAGTGGTGTTGCACACGCCTTTAATCCCAGCACTTGGGAGACAGAGGCAGGCAGATCTCTGTGAGTTCAAAGCCAGCCTGGTCTGCAAAATGAGTTCCAGGACAGCCAGGGCTGTAACACAGAGAAACTCTGTCTCAAGGGGAGAGAAAAAGTACAGAGAGATGAGGCTTGATGGTATACACTTGTAATCCCAGCATTCTTGAGGCTGAGACAAAAGGCTTTAAGAGTTTCAGGCCTGCCTAGGCTGCTATTAAAGGGGAAAACTAAAGGAGACTTAGAATATGGCTCAGTTGGTCGAGTGCTTGCCTACCCATGTGTGAAGCCCTGGGTTCCATCCCCAGCGGCATACAAACCAGGCAGAGTGGTGTACACTGGTAATCCCAGCTCTTAGGAGAGGGAGGCAGGAGGATCGTGAATTCAGAGACCCCCATCTCAGAGAGAGAGAGAAAAAAAAAGTCCCTTGAGGCTGACATTGTCTGGTCATGCATTCACATGAACTCCCAAAGAGCGATTGCCCAAACACTGACGGCAGGGAGGCTCCCCAGACAGGAGGCGGGGGTGGGGAAGACATGATTTGACAGCTGCTGAGATTTCAAGGGTTTAATTTGACAACGAGCAAAGTGTGACTTCACAGTGTAGAGCTTGCCTCCAACGCTGCCACTAGACGGAGCGGGGACGTCAACAAGAAAACAATGAGCGGCTCTGGAAGTAGCCTGGACCGTTCTGTCCCGCCCTGACTTGGCCAGTGAGTGGCTCGGAGGGCAGCGCTGAGCTACAAAGGCACACACACAACCCTTAGGGGAACAGGGAAAGCCCAGAGCAAGGACCAGCTTGCCTCGAGAAAATAAGCAATATTTGGGGCTTGGCATCTGGTTGGAAGGCTGAGGCAGCAGGGTTGCTATGAATTTGATGCCAGTCTAGGGAATGTAACAGGACCCTGTCGCAAGCAGGTGCAGGGGGAGCAGGGAGGTAGATGGCTCAGCGGGTCAAGGAAGGCTCTTGCAGCCAAGCCTTACGCCCTGAGTTCGATCCCTGGAGCCCACCTGAGGGCAGGAGAGACTAGACTTCTGCAAGTTGTCCTCTGACCTCCACACTCGGGCTGGGGCACGTAGGCAATGCCTCCCAATCAATAAATAGTAAACTTTTTTTTTTAAATGTTAAAAAAAGGACTCTGAGCTGGGGGTGGTGGTGCACTCTTTCAATCCCAGCACTCAGGAGACAGAGGTAGGTGGATCTCTGTGAGTTTGTGGCCAGCCTGGTCTACAGCGTGAGTTCCAGGGTGGCCAGGGCTACACAGAACAACCCTGTCTTGAAAAGACACTGTACTTTAATGCCAGTATTTGGGGAACAGAAGCAGACAGGCCTCTGAATTGGAGGCCAGCCTGGTCTACATAGTGAGTTCTGAGTCAGCCAGGGCTACATACTGAGACGCTGTCTCAAAAAGTAAAAAAAAAGAGAGAGAGAGAAAGAAAGTGGACGCAGTTGTTTCTATGACGACGCAGCCCATGCAGTGTTAAATGGGAAGGGACTGTGTGTGACCCGGGGTCTGAACCATGGTGTCCCGTGACTTGTCTCTTACACTCATCCTTGTTCTTACCCTTTTTCCAGCGGAAGCCCTGGGCCTGGACCACATGGTTCCTGTCCCCTATAGGAAGATTGCCTGTGACCCCGAGGCTGTGGAAATTGTGGGCATCCCGGACAAGATCCCCTTCAAGCGGCCTTGTACTTATGGGGTGCCCAAGCTGAAGCGGATTCTGGAGGAGCGGCACAGCATTCACTTCATAATCAAGAGGTGTGAATTGGCCTGGTTCTGTGAAAGGACACCTGCCTAGAATCCCCCAGTGAGGGACTGGGGTGTAGTTTAGTGGTAGAGCACCTACCTAGAATCTACCAGTGAGGGGCTGGGGGTGTGGCTCAATGGTAGAACACCTGCCTAGAATCCCCCAGTGAGGGGCTGGGGGTGTGGCTCAGTGGTAGAGCCCCTGCCTAGAATCCCCCAGTGAAGGGCTGGGGGTGTGGCTCAGTGGTAGAGCCCCTGCCTAGAATCCCCCAGTGAGGGGCTGGGGTGTGGCTCAATGGTAGAACACCTGCCTAGAATCCCCCAGTGAGGGGCTGGGGTGTGGTTCAGTGGTAGAGCCCCTGCCTAGAATCCCCCAGTGAGGGGCTGGGGTGTGGTTCAGTGGTAGAGCCCCTGCCTAGAATCCCCCAGTGAGGGGCTGGGTGTGGCTCAGTGGTAGAGCACCTGCCTAGAATCCTCTAGTGAGGGGCTGGGGTGTGGCTCAGTGGGAGAGCACCTGCCTAGAGTCCCCCAGTGAGGGGCTAGGGTGTGGCTCAGTGGTAGAGCACCTGCCTAGAATCCCCCAATGAGGGGCTGGGGTGTGGCTCAGTGGGAGAGCACCGGCCTAGAATCCCCCAGTGAGGGGCTAGGGTGTGGCTCAGTGGTAGAGCCCTGCCTATTGCGTGAGGCACTGGATTTTTCTGTCCTCAAAGCCACAAAAGCAAAAAGAGGAGCAGATAATTCTAGAACTTTAGGACCCTAGTCCGTCAAGTGTGCCTTCCAGCCCAGACATCCTATGAGGTCGTCTGGCCTTTTTACTCTGCCTCCACATCTCCAAAAATAATGTGAAACCCTTTTAGTCTGACTTTACCTCCCCCAACACAGTACTTCACAAGAAATGGGCCCCTGGTTCTTTCTTCAGCTGCTGGGGCAGTGGGTGGGACGGAGAAGGGAAGCTGGGCCCCCCAGACAGGAAGCGAGTTCCACTGGCTTTGCTCTCTGTGGTGGCTTCAGGCCTTGTGGTATCCAGATGTGTGAGCTCCCAGAGCTCTGGGAACAGCCGGGACGCCCCAGTCTCTCAGAAGAAGAACAGGAAGTCACGTTCAGAGTTCATACCCTGAGCCTTAACCTAGACACCAACTCAGTCTACCCTTACTGACTTTTTTTTTTTAATAATTTTTTTTTTTTTCAAGACAAGGTCTCTGGCTGTTCTGGAACTTACTATATAGACCAGGCTGGCCTCAAACTCAGAGATCTGCCTGTCTCTGCCTCTCAAGTGCTGAGATTAAAAACGTGTACCATAACGCCTGGCTAGTTTTTTTGTTTCTTTGGGGTTTTTTTGATTTTTGTTTTTTGCTGTTTGTGTTTTTTTTTTTTAAATATCTGTTAATTTTATGTATATGAGCGACCTGTCTTCATTCACACTGGAAGAGGGAATCAGATCCCATAATAGATGGTTGTGAGCTACCATGTGGTTGCTGGGAATTGAACTCAGGACCTCTGGAAGAGCAGCCAGTGCTCTTAACCACTGAGCCATCTCTCCAGCCCAACTGTTTGTGTTTTTAAAGACAGGGTCTCATGTACTGTGAGCAAGTTAATTTAGACGGATCGTCCAAAATAATAGGTTTCATGACCTCTCCACACAGGCCCTCTAGCCGTAGTCACCCCCGAGTCACATGCCTAGCCTCCTGTCCTGGTTTCATCCTGCTGCTGTGATAAACAGTGACCGAAAGCAGCTCTGAGGAGGAAAAAGGATTTATTTCCGATTCCGGGTCACAGTCCATCACTGGAGGCCAGGGCAGGAAGTGGAGCAGAAACCAGGAAGAAACGCAGCTCACTTGGTCTCTGGCTCACCCTGTGCTCACCCTCTGCTAGCTTTCTTACACAGCCCAGGACCACCTGCCTAGGGAATGGAGCTGCCCAGAGTGGACTGGGCCCTCCTGTATCAATGTACACGGTTCCTCACGGACGTGGTCCACAGGCCAGTCTGATGTGGGCGGCTCCTCAGGTGACTCTAGTTTGTATCACAGGGACAATTGAAAGCTACCCAGTGCACACACGACTCCTACTCTGACCTGCTGGACTCCTTTCTCTTCGTAAATTCATCCCCTTGATAATAACTATTGTCGGTCTTTTTGAGACAAGGCTATAATACGTAGCCCATGGCCTCAACCTCGAAATCCTCCTGCCTCAGCCTCCCAAATGTTGGGATTGTAGCTGGGGTGAGTGCCTCCATTCTTGGCCTGGACGTCAATTGCTGTATCTGTATGACTTGGTTCTTAGACCACCCCTGGGCCCCAGCTTCTTCTCCACTAATTGGTCCATTAGTAATCTGACCCTGTCACAAGGTTCCGGGGCTCTGTAGGTCCCATGAGGTCGAAGCTCGTGTGTATGAGCACGTTACTACAAGGACCATGCTTCCAGCCATCATGGCACACCCTAGTTTCTGCCCTGGCTTGGGGCCCCTGCTTTCTGAGAGCACCCCTGAAGGAGTTGCTTTTTGCTGAGCCTGGCACTTAGTGAGACACAGGTATAAATAACAGGCCTTAATGAGCAGGTCTAGGGGTGGGAGTGTGGTTCAGTGGGTAGAGTGCCTGCCTGGCATTCACGAAGCCCCGGCTTCCATACCCAGCTCTGCAAAACAGGGCGTGGTGTTAGAGGCCTATAATTCAAGCACATAAGAGGTAAAGGCCAAGGGGCCGGGAACTCAGGGTCATCCTTGGCTACATAGGGAGTTTGAGGTCAGCCTGGGCTGCACGAGACCCTGTCTAAAACAAAAAACAAAAACAACAACAACAACAGCAAAATCTAGACAGGTCTTTCATGGCCAGAATGACAACGGGACCAGAGATGTTCAGGTTCCCTCTGTATTCGTTACTTTTCTTTGTTGCTATGACAATTTCCAACCAAAGCAGCTCGAGGAAAGGGTTATTGTGGCTCACAGTTTGAGGGGATCCATCATGGTGGGGATGTTGGCAGCAGGAGCGTGAGGTGGCTGGTCACAGTGCATCCTCCGTCAGGAAGCGAGGAGGCGAATGCTGTCTGTCTTCATTTGATTCAGTCTAGGACCCCAGCCCATAGGGTGGAGCAGCCACCCATATTTGGGGGGGTGGGAGGAGCTTTCCTCTTCCATTAACCCAATCTAAAAGCTCCCTCGTAGACATGCCCAGAGATTTGTTTCCATGGTGATTCTGAGTCCCGTCAGGTTGGCGAGGTGAACCATGACTCCCCAACTCTTGCCCACGTGTGTGGCCGGCCCTGTGCCCTGGTCCGTGGCTCTAAGAACCACACTGGTGGGATCTGTGGCCATCTCTGAGGGGACCAGCCTGTACCGTTCTCACACGCTCTTTCCTCTCTTCCCCAGGATGTTTGATGAACGCATTTTCACAGGTAAGTGGGTACCATCGGGTCTATTTTGGAGTTGATGTCTCCCTGAACTGACCCTGTCATCTTGAACCCCCTTCTGCATCGTGGGCTTATGTGTGGTCTTTGGGCTCCCAATGGCGGACAGGCTGGAACCCTGTAGAGTTGAGAGTCTCCTTGGAGAAAATAGTAATACCATTTGCTAAACATATTAGCCAGGTTCCCTTTGGGAACTACCTTGATTTTTGTTTTTGTTGGGGTGTGTGTATATGTGTGCGCGTGCAAGTGTGTATGTGTGCCTGAGTGTGCGTGTGTGTGCGTGTGTGTGTGTGTGTCCATGTAAGAACCTCATGTAAGGGACCGGAAGTCAACTTGGTCCTTGAACTATTCTCCACAGTCTTCCACATCACTCTACCTTCCTTTTGGAGACAGCCTGCTCATTGATCACATCATTGCCTCCCTAATCTGGTTTATGGGCATACGGCCTTGCATCTGACTCTTTCTGTGGGTGCTGGGTGTTCCGATTCAGGTTTTCATGCCTGCATGGCAAGCCTGTAGATCAATCTTCCCCACACCTGAGGTACCTTATTTTATTCATTTTATCTTCTTTGATTTAATTCCCCCCATTATCGATCTCTTTTTCAGTGTCTCACCATACAGCCCAGCCTGGCCTCAAATTCTGTAGCCCAAGCTAGCCTTAATTCAAGATCTTTCTGCCTCTGCCTCTTGAGTCCTGAGATTGCAGTCATATGCCACCACCCTTATTATAATTCTCAGCCATTCTGCAGACAGGGTTCTGATCTCACGTCCATCTATAAATAAAGCATCTAAATCACTAGGGAAGTGAGGCCTTGGCATTTCCCTGTGATGCTGTGGCCCCAAAGCCTCAGCCTTCAAGAGCTACGCAGATCCTTGGTGGGGGGGGGGGGCGTATTGAGGTACCTCAGTCCCATTAACAGCTCTGCTAACCCGGCAGCATGGAAACATTGGGCTCTATCTGTGGCCCCGTTTCCACATCTATGACACAGAGACGATAAAGAGGAGCTAGCTGACTGGGTAGTGGTGGCACACATGCCCTTTAATCCTAGCACCTCGAGGCAGAGGTGGGTGGGTCTCTGTGAGTTCGAGGCCAGCCTGGTCTACACAGAGAGTTCCAGGATAGTCAGAGCCATACAGAGAAACCCCGTCTCAAAAAACTAAAAAAGAAAGGAAGGAAGGAAAAGAGGAGCTAGCTGCCTTCTAGTTTCTGGTTGTTTTTTTTTTTTTAAAGGAGAAAATGGTCCCGTGGGACAAAGGGTAGGATTGGGGGCTATGGCCTTTCTCCTGAGGTTCTTACATTATCATGTCCTGCAGAAGGTTAGGGAGAACTTTCTAGAATGAGGGTAGGATGTAGACAGATGAATTCCTGGCTGTTTCAGACACAGCCCCCAAAGAGGAGTTCAGATGCAGACCCCACCCTCCCCGGAGCACCTCTAGGAATGTCCTATAAAAGCCAGTGCCCGGGTGTCTCTGACCAACAGGAAAGGCCCTGTCTTTGGGAGTTCACAAGATGTTAGGGTCTTAGTCCTCCGACCTCGGGCTCCTGAATGTTGGGGTGGCGGGTCTACACCACCACATCTGACTGAAGAGCCGCCATCTTAAGCCCAACTTTTCCCACAGGGAACAAGTTTACCAAAGACCCCGTGAAGCTGGAGCCAGCCAGCCCACCAGAAGAGACTTCCACAGAGGTCTGTAGGGACGCTATGCTGGACCTGGCTGGGACTGCTTGGTAAGAGGTCCTCTTCTGCTCTGGGTGAGGCCTGTGTTCTGCATGGTCTAGGAAGGGCCTGGGTTTTTGTTTGCTTGCTTTGTGGGTTTGTTTTTTTGAGACAGGATCTCACTATATCACTCCGGCTATCCTGGAACTCGCTGTGTAGACCAGGCTCTGGATCACAGAGATCTGCCTGCCTCTCTGACTTCTGAGTGCTGGAATTAAAAGTGTGCGCCATCACGCCTGGTTTAAGATTATTTTTATTTCATGTGTGTGCCTGGGTGTATCTATATGCACCACGTGTGTACAGATGCCTACGCATGCCAAAAGAGGACACTGGGTATACTAGAACTAGAGTTATCGATGGTTGTGAGCCTCCCCCTCCGCTCATGTGGATGTGGGGAACTGCACTTGGTTTCTCTGTAAGAACAGCAAGCACTCTTAATACTGAGCCAGAGCTCCAGCCTCTTAGCTTGGTTTTCTCAGACGGACTTTTACAGAGTCTGGAGCTCCCAGCAATGCTCCGGTGTGTTTCTCTCAAGCATAGAGGTCGTAGACGGGCTCTGCCACGCTCAGATTTGGGGGGGGGTGATTCTGAAGTGTGGGCAGAGTGACTCAGGACAAGGTCAGCACCGGGTCATTTCCCCGTCTTCCTTTCTCAGGTCAGACAAGAGCAGCAGCGTCTCTGAAGACTGTGGGCCAGGTGAGAAGCCGCACGTCTCCCTTGTGTATAATATTCTGGGGCCATGGAACCCAGGGGCGTGGCTACCAGTTCCCTGCTGACAGCCAGGAGGAGGCCTGCCCAGGCTGTGAACCCTTGGTACTCGGGCTAGTCCTCTTCCCACGGCCATCCTCAAAGCCTCACCCGGCCAGCAGCAGAGCATGCTGGGAACTCTCTGGAGAGGGGCAGAGAGTAGAAACCAAGGCCTGGCATCAGCACTGCCTACCTTGGTGTCTGTAGACGGGCAACCCTATCTTTACGCCCCATGGGTCTGTCTGCTCTGTGCCAGGTTTGGCCTGACTTTGTCCAAGGACCATCTGTCTGGTCCTTCCTGATCTGGGCAGGAGCCAAGAGTCCAAAATGACATTTCCTGGTTGTTCATTGTCAATGCATAGACATGAGAATGTTCTGGAAAGACTTGCCTTTATATGGGCATGCCCGTGCCCCTGCCTGACAGGATCCGTCTTCTTCTCTTTGCAGGAACCTCAGGAGAGTTAGCAATGTTGAGGCCCATCAAAATTGAGCCAGAGGAGCTGGACATCATTCAGGTTACTGTCCCAGGTAAGAGACGTGTCCATCGAAAGTGCTCCTGTTCCTGAATGGACATGTTGACAGAAGCTGGGCTGCTCTGCTGCCCGGGACCTACTCCATCAGGCCACTGTATCCGGGTTGATTCCCCTCTCCAGAGTGTTTGAAATAGAGCCTGGGGTCTTTCACATGCTAAGCAAGTGCTCTCCCATTGGGCCATACCCCAGCCCCTCACTGGGGGATTCTAGGCAGGAGCTCTACCACTGAGCCACACCCCAGCCCTCACTGGGGGATTCTAGGCAGAGGCTCTACCACTGAGCCACACCCCAGCCCCTCACTGGGGGACTCTAGTCAGGGGCTCTACCACTGAGCCATACCCCCAGCCCCTCACTGGGGGATTCTAGTCAGGTGCTCTACCACTGAGCCACACCCCAGCCCCTCACTGGGGGATTCTAGGCAGGTGCTCTACCACTGAGCCACACCCCAGCCCCTCACTGGGGGATTCTAGGCAGGTGCTCTACCACTGAGCCACACCCCAACCCTTCACTGGGGGATTCTAGGCAGGGGCTCTACCCCTGAGCCACAGCCCCCTTTCCCCTTTTTATTTTGAGACAAGAGCTCACTGGGTTGACTGGCCCAGCCCTGAACCCACTCAGTAGTCCAGGGAGGCCTTAAGCTCTCAGTCCTGATGCTTCTCACCTTCCCAAAAACTGAAGTCATCCAGCTATACCACATCTGGCTTCATGGATTTCTTTTAACATCTCGGTCTTTCGACCCACTTGGTCCATTGGGACCTCTGAGGGACCACGATGGGCAGGACATGTAAAAGATGCTCTCATCATTTGGAATTTCCTTTTAGACCCTTCACCAACTTCGGAGGAGATGGCCGACTCACTGCCTGGGCATCTGCCCTCGGAGGATTCCGGTTATGGGATGGAAATGCCGGCTGGTAAGAGGTGGGCTGGGGCTGGCCACACTGGGGACCTACTACCCTGGGGAGCTACAGGGAGGACAGGAGGGCCGGGAAATCCCTAAGTTTTTCCTGGAGTTGGGTGCCTTAGTTGGAGAAGACTCAACACACGAGAAGCATGCTGTATGTGGGACCACCCGTGCCTGCAGCTTGGGATGTGTTTTGGATTTTGAGATAAGATGCTTTCGGCGATGGGACCTCAGTCTATGTGTCAGTTCGTTTGTTCGTTGATGTTGAAGGCCTGCAGCAGATTGCTGGTATAGCTCATTTGAGGTCCTGGGTTCTATGCCTAACCCCTGCAGGGAATGAAAAAAATGAACAAGTAAAAATAACTCCCCAAGCCGCACGCCCTTAATCCCAGCACTCAGGAGGCAGAGCCAGGCGGATCTCTGTGAGTTCGAGGCCAG